CTTCTGCTGTGATTTCCTGTCACTACGGCCAGCAGCTCGTCAGCAGGAGGCCATTTGTCATGATGTCACTAACTCTCTCCAGCTGTCTAAGAGCAGCCCACCACGCACGCACTCCAAGGCTGCCCTGTCGCCTTCTCCACTTGCACAGTGAACAGAGATGTAAGTGCCCCCCTCCGGGGATGTCGAGCACCTCCAGGCACCAAGGATAACCACAGAGGAAAGATCTCAAGAAGCAGAGCCAAGCTCCACTCTACCCCAAACTGGCTTCCTGTGAAAGACAGCAGGAACGGGAAAGAGGTCTCGCAGGAAAAGGCTGGTTCACAGCTGGGAACCCTAACCTCATCAATTCCCTTTTAGAAGGGTGTCCTTCTGAGAGATAAAGGCCGCCAGAGGCGTGGCACCAACCTTTCTGACAGTGTGGTCTTCACACTGTTGGTTCTGACAAAGGGAGTCAGGGAGTCGTCCTTAGACGAGGTGAGCAGGCCAGTGGAGGAGTTGTGGCTCAGGCCGCCCCCACTGCTGAGCGAGATGTCGATGGACTCGCAGCTGGTGTGGAGGCTGCTCACAGACTGGAAGCCCCGGCCGTCCTTGCTGACAGCCGAGGAGCTGCTGGCGTTGGTGCCCCAGGTGAGGCTGTTGGAGGGGCCCGAGTGGGCTGAGCTGGGGCTGGAATCTACAGGAGATTGGTTGAGGTCCACATTCTTACTGTAGAGAGGGCTGCTGCTCCCGCTGCTCAGGACGCCACTGCCCGAGGGGGAGTCTAAGTTACCTGGCTGGGTCATGGTGGCATGAGGGTTGGAGATGACCACCGAATTTTTCATGTTTTCGGCTGTGGCGATGGGCACTTGCTTGGTAGGCTTCCCACCAAAGAGTCTGTGAAGAGACAAAGGGTTGTGTGGATTGAACGCCCAGTGCCAAGGGTGCTGAGCTGTTAAGGAACGGTTGGGGCTAGGGAGCAGTGACAATCCCCAGGGAGGGGAGCACAGCTATTTCTACTGAAATGGCTCAAAGCACAAGCATGGTAAAGGGTCAGTCATAAAGTGGGCCTGAACCTCCGAGTTCTAACCTGCAGCTGAGCCCTTGGCTATATTTGGGGCAAAGGGCGCTGGGTTTAATGTTCCATAGGCCTGTCCATGCTGGTCCAAGAGCTTCCTTTCTTTCCATGAACAGGCTAAGAAGAAAACAGCTGGAGGAAACGAGCCGTCTTACTGTCTCTGTATCTATGACCCCAGGGGCCAAGAAGGCACTCAGTTTACGACAGCCCAGGCCTAAAGGATTTGGTTTCTTTGACCTCAAAGCATGATACAGAGAACAAGAACATGAGGCCAGGGATGGATGGGGCCTGGAGAAAGTGAGAATCCTCCACGGCAAGTCCAACCTGGAAAGTGGATCTTTTAAGGCCAGAGAGCTTGTCTTATTCAAAGACATACAAATCTCAGAAAGACATGGCAATCTCGATGGGTTCACAAGACGTTAGACCAGATACCAGGTGTAAACTGTGTCTCTAGGACAGACACACAGAGCCCATCTCATGTCACCTCCTCCCTGCTTGTCACCACAAACATGCTGTCAGACTCTAGACCATGCACATCCACCACCTCCGACCTCCATCTCCCCTCGCAGACAGCTCTCTGGTAGAACAGAGGAACGGTCTTCAAGTCAGTGCCTGGCCTACATCCCAGTAAAATGCAAGGGCTTCATCCACCCATAAAGAGCCACGTGGAATGAGGATTTCTGAAAAGTGACGGAAGTACCACGTAGACTAGACAGACAGCTTCTTCTCAGCCACTTGCAGTGGTGTGAGTTTGATCTCTGACCTCAAGAAGCATCCTATATCTCTCGGTGATTGTCAAGATAGAAAAATAGTCCATCGATCCTCCCTACAATGTCTGGTGGCAGAGGAAACCCTTTTTGCCTGCTGAAAACCCAGGACATTTTACTGTAGACTCCTGACTCTGGAATGCTTACATACTTCCAGTGACAGACGGGGCCCTCACTACTTCACAGGGTAAGTCACGCCACCACCAAGGACTTCTAAGTGTTAGAAAACCAAAATCGGATCCTTTTTTCTGTTTTTTTTTTTGGACTTTCACATCTCGCTCCTCATCACATAACTACACAGAAGTCCAACCTTCTGTCTTTTCTCTCTTCCCACTATTTGAAGAGAGGAACCTATCACATTTTACCTGAGATCTCTCTTCTCCTACCAATGTACACTGCAAGACTTGAGAACACCTTAAAGATTTAAGAAAAATGCAGTTTACCAGGAATTGGTGGAAAGGTGCTCTCCCAGACCCTAAGAAGCTGCATGCATTTTCAAGTGTTCTGTTACAGTAGCCTAAGGGTGTACTAAAATGCCTTTGTAGTTACTAAAGGAAATCTATAATACCAAAGAGCGAATATTACATAAAATACTTGAGGCAAGAAGCAGAGAACATTTTCATTTACAAGGCAATCTGTTAAAACAACAAAGAACAGCTCAAGAGGACCTTCCCCCTGAAAAAATAATCATTACTGAAATTCTAATAATCAAGTCTAGACAAAGAACCGTGAATCGGTTCATTATACCTTTCATGTGGAATGCTTCTTCTGAAGTCTTTTCAAACATTCCTGTTCATACTCACATATGCACTTGTGCGTGTACTTTAAATTTTCTCACTGCTTCATTTTCTATTCTCGGGACTTACTCTTGTATCTGACAAGGACTTTCCTGGGAAGGTCGGATGAGTTCCAACCGCTGCAGCTGCCATGTGAGGATGGCCCCGTGGGTAGCATGAGATATTATGAACTGCCCCAAGTGTATACATTGAAAAGAAACTGTAAAAATCCACATTAAGAACTTCTGACCCATGTGAACATGTGGAAAAAAGGTTTTTTGTTTATTTTTTAAGTAATAGGAAATCAATTTCTCCTTTTCAGAAATATTTCTGTTTTAAGATTTTTTGTTTGTTTGTTTGTTTTAATAAGAAGGTCAAATTTCAGAGTCAGAATTATGCATGTAATATAAAAAAGTAGGTAGGGCAAGGGGCTATCAGAAAAAGGTTTGTCTGAGGTCATTACTCGCTGCAGAGCGGGTGTCAGCCACAGAATCACCAAGGCGACTGCAGATAAGCTCTGTTTGCCCTAAGCTACCCATTCAGACTCGGGGTACCAAGACCTCACCGTGGATGGCAACCAAGTGTCACTGAGCACTCATTCTAGTCAGACATGGCTACAGAGATTCTCACGAGAGCGCCGGGAAAAGCATCGTCTCCACGCTGAGATGAGGAGACTGAGGCAGAATTGTTAAGAAAGCATGGCAATTAATTTGCGTGGACCCAGGATTCGAACCGAGGAGGATTCTAGAGGCCTACGTTTTTCATCCTAACATGGGAAAATAATTAGTCGCCTGGCCAAATTGCTGGCAGGATCTGACCAGTTTTACCCAAGTGTTTTAGTAGACAGAAACAGAGGCTGCATTAGCTACGAAAGAGGAAGTTATTAATCCGTGTGCTATTCAGGTATCCCCGGGTACTCGTACCATTTCTTTACCCTCTTACCTGCGGAGTGTGGGAGAGGCCACGTCTGGGTACTTGGCTCCAGGCTGGAGAGTTGCCTGAGCCGGGCTAGACACGGACTGGGCTGCAGGATTCACTTTCACTGAGTTACAGGAGGCCACACTCTCATTATCCGATGAGATGCCTTTCTCCTTGTCCGTCTGGTTGACCAGGCCTGGCAGCGAGCTGCCCAGGGCTGTTTTGGAAGGCTCCCTCAGCTTGGGCACCGGCAGGCCCGCTGACTTGCTGCTGATGTTGGAGTCGATGCTGCTGGTACTGGATCTGTTCCCAGCCCCGTTCCGGCCATTGGACTTACTGGGCCTGGGCAAACTGCGGTACTGCAAGTTGGTCCGGGAGCTGAGAGACAGGTACGCATCGTCCTGATTCTGAGCCCCGTCCATGCTCGTCTTCCGACCAGTTGCCCGACCGACAAGCGCGGAGGACTTTGGGATTTTGCCCAGCGTGGCTGATCTGCTGGTGACAGTGGCCCCACTGGCTGTGATCATGGCCAGGCCGGCAGCAGAGCCACTCTGCTTCTTGAACCCAAAGCTGTTGGCGTTGGCAGTGGGCGTCCTGGAGCTGCTGGGGAGGGGCTTTTTGGATTCGTCACCACTGCTGCGGCCAGCATCCGATGGGGAGCGCTTCACCTGGGAGGCTTTGGGAGAAAGCCTACCCTTCTCGGACACCTTCGCATCGTCTGTTTTCCCTAAGAGAGAAACCAGTGAGGTTAGCCTGCAAATCAAGAAGCCAGCTCACCCAGCCAGTCTGCTTAAGACATTTCCCTTCCTTGAAGAACCGTTTTGCTTTTTCCTCAGGGAAAGCAGTACCCATGGGAGGCAGAGGAGAGAGCTTTTTATAAAGATAACCTAGTCAATGACTGTCACTGTGAGCCTTTTAGGAAATGTCGATGATTTTACTCATTTGTAAAGTAGTCTAATTTTACCCAGCATGAAGCAAAGCCAGCCAATCACCGATACGTTTGGCAGTGGGGGTTGGGGAGGATGGGTCCCTGTCTTTTATTGACTTTTCACTCTATTAAAAGGCTGTCCCTACGATTTGGAGGGGATACACCTGCCTTGTTGACACACATCCCCTTGATCCTGGACAGCATCAACTCCACATACCAATGGCTTGTAAACACAAGCCCTTCCACAGCTTGCAGTGGGTGTGTCACTTCTAACCCACTACACAGTTAAACCAATTCAGTATGTCCCTGCAGTTGAACTGTCCCGAGTTTAAGAGGCTCCCATGCTTCCATATCTCCGCTTAGAAAAAGGCAGGTATGTGGCCGTTCATGAAAGCCGAGTGTCAGCAGCATCAGAAGAAACATGTGGCATCCAGTCCTTGCTAGAGCTACCGTGGTACTGGTTTGCAAGCTGACAAGTGTGGGTGTAAGCCAGCCTGGCCTCGTACTCACCAGTTCCTGGGGTCTTCAGACTGCCTGCTGGGGCTGACTGCTTCGTCCTCGGCATGGTGATGCCGACTTGAGCCGTCATGCCTCGCCGCCACGAGCCCGTCTGGGAGATGACCGTATTCTTCTTGCCCGACGTGCTTTTGTCGGACTCATCAGACACATCCGAAGGGTTCCGCCTCCACTTGGAGCCGGGCTCCATCTTTATGCCGCTGTCTGACCCTCCGTCTGACTTCTTGACGTCATCACCAGACCACAGGGAATTCCTCTCCACCTGTGAGTGTTTCTCAGCGTCGGTCTGTGGACAGAGACTCCCCGAATTAGTCCTCCCCAAATCCCAGGCCCCAGAGCCCCTCACTCCAAAGGCAAAAATGCCAATATACTGTACTAGTTAAGGGCAAAACAGTAGAGAGTGATTTTAAAATATCTGGACTTCTGTTATCTTGTTAGAAAGCCTGATCTGGTTGGGGCTGGGAAATGGACAAGTGAAGGATATGAATGCACCCTTAGAGAGGAGCGAGGGGGGAGAGTAAAGGGCCAGAGGAAAAGAGGAAAAGCCCCAGGGAGAAGACCCTCAGGGCAGACAAGGACGCGGTGGGAATTCAGCCCAACTCTGTGCACTTGGAGACAAGCCTCCTGCGACTCGGGCGGCTGGTCTCTAACCGGAGTCCCACCCCGGCCGGCTCCTTTGTTCTGTCTTCCTATCACTCCACTGGCTGTGAGATCTTTGGATGGAGCGCAGCGCCACGTGTAACACACCAAGCGAGCGAGTAAGTGAGGGCGGCTGCGAGCTCCCCTGGAGTCAGGGAGGGCCGGGAGCTGGAAAGGGACACAGATTCTCAGATGGCACTTCCCTCAACTGCTGTGAGCCGGCAGTGCCTGCTCCTGTCCCAGCTGCGTTTATATGCCACTGCTTTTCCCCCTCAGACAAGGGATGTAATTAGCCAGCTTTCTTGGGGAGAATCGTGACCTGCTGGCCATGGAATCCGGAGGGGACAGACATGTGATGCTAATGACCTGCTGTAGCCACAAGGCACAGAGCTAACAGGATGCCTGCAAGGCCAGTCCGAGGGAGCCAGCAGGGAGACGTGGCTCAGAGCAGGGGGAAGAGAGGTCGGCAAGTCCCATATTTTCTCTGCTTAACTACCAAGAATTGACAAGGTGGGAAATTATAATAAACACCTGGCAAAAATTTGGCCGAGTATCAGTATCTGTCACCCGAGACTGGTGCAAATGGCTCCCACTGCAGAACACAACGGCTGAATGGGACAACAGCTAAACCCAGACTGGCAGTCCAGGTGGAACTGCTTCTCTCTCTCCCCCAACCCGTTCTCCCCTTCTGAACTCTACTCATGGGTGATGGACATCGGACAGGTGCTTACACACATGCACACACACTCCTTACACACATACCGAGTTCCAGCCAGGTAACACGTCCCAGGGACCGGGACACATGCCCTGACAGTGAGACGCTCTGTCTGCAGCTGCGGTGGGGGTCAGAGCGGCGCTCAGTTAAGGGGGATGAGTCCGTGGAGGAGTGCGTGAACACGCGCTCTTCGGGCCACACTGTACTATAGTAAAATGGGCTCGTCCCATGCCAGCTGCTCTCCAGTCAAGGAGGTAAGTCTCCATGTTCTTTATCTCAGTTTTACACATGAGCAGAAGGTGAAGCTGCCCAGTCCCGTGCCAACGGCCTCAGCCCTTTCCTCCGAACGTGTCCGTACGTTTGCTTGGCCAGAACGTCCAATGCCTGCTGTCTGCCAGGCGCCAAGAAGCGTCTGAGGATCTGCAGGTGAGACGAGTCTAACTCTCAGAGCGGACAGCCCAGCCAAAGAGGCAGCGACAGCATACATCAATACGAGTAACTGTGCAATTGCACATAACGAATTCTATTATAAGAAAAAGGACAAAGTTGGAGAGGGACATTCAGACACTGACATAATCCGGCTTATGATGATTGGGGTGAAGGGCAATGATCAGGTAAGGCCTCTTGAAGAAGGGCCCTGAAGCATGTGAAAAAATTTAGCAGAAGACTTCAGGGAAGAGCATGCCAGGCAGAGGGAACGGTCTGTGCAAAGGCCTCAAAGCAGGAAAGAGCTTGGTTTTAGAGGATTCACTCAGCAAATATCTTGGTGCCACTATGAGTCAGGCAAGCTTACTCACACGGGGATACTGCAATAAACAAATCCTTAACCTCCTGGAGATCATGTCTGCACGTATTCTAACATATCTAATGTGCTCTAAGAGGTACTGACAATTTAGCACACGCCATGTCGGGGTGCTGCTTTCTGATGCCTGCTCCCATACCTGTCTCCCCCACCAAACTATAATGTTGTCAGCAGCAGCAGCAGCAGCACCAACTCAAATTACTGAGCATTTACTACATGCCAGGCATGCGCTCACGTGCTTTCTGTGTACTACTTAACTTCATCCTTACGAAAAAATAAACCTATGAAGAAGTTACAGTTGCTACCTTCAATTTTACATGAGAAAACTGGGGTGGGTGGGAAAGAAAACTGCCCAAGATCACACAATGGGGAACCAGAGATGCAAGGATTCCAGGGAGTCTTCACTGCAGAGCCCTCACTTTTTAAATTTTAGACATTTTTAAAATAATTATTTAATTTAATTATTATTGTTTTTATTTTGCTATAGGGCAATGCACGCACCAGAAAGACACAGAGAGACAGAGAAAGTGAGAAAACAAGCTGCCAGGTCTGGGATTTGAACCATGGCCACCCAAGTGGGAGTCTAGTGCTGTGACTACCACACCAACTGCTGGCCCTGCAGAGCCCATATTTTAACAACCACGCCACGCCCCCTTTCTTGGGGATAAGTCCGTGGATGTAGACATTTGTGCACGTCCACCAACACCTCATACACGTCTCACACCCGGGGATTCTCCTCCCACACCAATAGGCAGGCTGTCCTGACCACACCACTCAGCAGCTCCCGGCCCGCC